CCCACCCACCCACCCACCCCCCGCTAGTAACATTTAACCAAAAAGGCAAGTTTAGACCATGGAAATGGAAACTGCCTAATCCTTCTATTAAAAATCAATGGGAGTTACATGTATGTGGGGAGAATTAAGGGGAGAATTTAATTGAACTAAAGTTTACTTGTTTCCTTTTGCATATATTAGGACTGAGGTCACAGTAGTATTAGGTGTGACATGCACTTAGCTCCTCAGCTGGTGTAAAGGAGCATAGGCCCTTGAACACAACACAAATATACTGGTTTATAACTGCTGGCCATGCCTTTTAATTTAGCCAGGAACACCCACCCTAATATTCAAGGACCTGATTGTGATTGTTGTTAATATTGTTTGCTTCAGAAAATGTCCCTTAAAGAATTCCAAGCTGTTACTAAATTAAATGACATAATTCCTGCGAGAAATTCCAGAGTGTTCAAATATCATGCAGTCTGGAGTTTTCTATCCACTGGGCAAGATGCACCTCAGAAACATCCCAGAATGCTAGGAAATTTGAAATGATGGCTGGCGTGGAGCCCCCCACACACCTCAGACCTTCTAGGTTTTAGGTACTTGAGGGATTTGAGATGGCAGTGTTAAAGTGAATGACAAATAACTTCCAGAGAGAAACAGTCAGCATGCGATCAGAACCCGGGGCAAACTGGAGGTTCAGGAGATTAGACAGCGGACAGAAGATAATTTATCCAAAACCAAATGAATCCTTTAGTCCCATTTAACTGTAGGTAAATATTAGGATCAGCTACTGTTTTTCCTTTTACTGTGTTTTTCTTCCTATTAACACTTTAAGGGTAGAAGTGTTATCACAGAAAACAATTATTAGTGAAAGTATTTCACTAAAGTAGGGAGTATTTAAAAAATCAATGTCTGTTTTAGTAAGAGTAGTATTCTGGAAACCTGCATGACACAGGTGCTTTACATTGGAGCTTGGCATGCAGGAGTCTGTTGCCAATCAATTGAGTTCTTTATTGTACTATAAAACCTATATTAAACTTAGATGACCTTTCATTTTGCTGTCTTTTGCTGTGGTATTTCACTTAAGGTATGATAGGAATAGGAAAGGTGTGGTCATTGGAGGACCTGGCTTTTATTTATACTTCTTCATTTCATTTCCTTTGTGATTTGGGCAAGTAATTTAGGTCAAAACACTCTAATTTGGATGCCTAAGAGTATGGGTTTAAATCTATATTTACATGTTTAAATAAGTGGCCTGCTTTCACAGATTCTGAGCAGATCCCAATAAAAACTTGGCAAGTCTGAAAATCTGCTTATTTGGGTATATTAATATAGATCTAAGCACCGAATTCTGAGCGGCCAGGTTTGCATTGTGACTTCATTTTTTGTTCCCTCAGTTTCTTCCTCTCTTAGCTAGGTCTAATTCTTATCTGGCAACATAGACTGTAAATAAATATCTCATATGATGCAGTTCTGGTTGTCCCAGATTTTGACCCATATCAAAACAGGAGCAGCACAGCCATTTACACACACAGCCCTTCCAAGCTGCATTGCAGCTCCTCTGCCAGTATGTGGCCAGCATGAATACATAGCCTAAAAGTCTTGTCCCTATCATCTGCAATTAAGTTAGGGTGAAGTTGCACATTACACATAGACTATACCAAGGGCACTTAAAATGTAAGCATCTAAACATTAAGCTTGTTAACTTGTGCTGAGTTTCCTCTGAGCATCTCAAAGTTATGCCACTTCAGGCAAGGGTTAACACTGGGCCATGCTACCTAGCTCATGTTAGGTAGCTTCAGTCTGCTCCACAGAAATAAAATGAGCAATTTGCATTTCACCAGCATCCCGGGATGCACTGCTCCCATTCCTCCACCTGTCCAGAGCAAGAATAGAGCACAGGTGTCCTGGCTTCTAACCATGCCCTTGCTTGCCAGACCTCTAGTGGCAGATCAGAGCTGTACAGGGAAGAAATGGTATTAACAATTAATGTATGACTGCCTACAGTACATTACAAATTTAACAGCCCTTAACATTCCACAGATTTCATATGGTTTAAGTGTAATGTATAACTTCATCCTTAGAGATGCACATGAGATAATGGGCTTGTCCTGGAACAGAAGGCTGTCTTCTGGTAAAAATGCAATATTTGGTGACAGTGCTAGGATGATTATGAATAAGGCTTTGTGAAGCTTCAGTTGCTGATTTGATTCAGCGGAGATTTGGCCTAATTCAGCGACCAAATTCTGAATCCGAATCGAATCAGGTGACCCTTTAATCTCTGAATTGAATTGGAACCCTCTGAATCAGTTTGGAAAGATTCAGAAAGATTTGATGATTCCGACATAGGCACAGTTTTAAGTGTTTTACTTAAATTGCTGTTTAAAAGATTTTGCAGAAACTGTGAAATCTGGAATTGTCCGTGAAATCAACAAAAAACTTAATAAAAATAAAATGCTGACTCTTCACTGGGAGCCAACAGTCCTCACTGCTGCTGTGGCCCAACTTCACAGACACCTGGGAGTGGAAGGCACTGGCTGGTGGGATGATATGAAGGGCAATAGAAAAAATAACAGCTGCCCCCTCTTCATTCCTCCCCCCCCAGGGCCTCTCTGCCAATCAGTGCCAAGAGGCAGGGCCACCTGAGTACATCTGTGAAATGTCCATGGAATTTGGTCATGATTAACCTGCAAAAATTGGTACGTCTAACCATGATTTAAGTAGACCCCTATCCATAGGTCTCAGTCTTGGTGAAAAGTACTTTTCATCACATCAGCTTTGGCATGCTAAAAAAAATGGTGATATTTCACATTTTAAAAAAACTACATATAATTACTCTTCATTCTATCGTTAGCTCAGTGTCATTTGCAGTTATAAACTTAGTGCCAAAATCTCCTGCTGTTCTAATTTAAATTCTTGCTTAAATCAATACTACAACCGGAGATGTAGCTTATTGGCTCATTCATTTTCTAAGTATGTTTTATTGTTATCAGCAAAACTAGAAGGAAGTTCTCTTTAGAGGTACAGAAAATCTTGATGGAAATAAAAAATGGCAAAACTAGATCATTACTTGCATAATTTGTATATGCTTACTAAAGTAACTGCAAAATATTCCATGGCATTTATGGGGTGATTCTATATTGTGAATTGTACAGCATAATTCAATATTGCTGCTGTGTTATTCATAGCAACATAATAAGTAACGGGCTTCATCTCTGCTAATTGGGGAAAATGGTAAGGCAGGAAGCATTTTGAGAACAGGAGAAGGCCGTCTGGCCTTATGATATACACCTTTTTTGTTTCATTTCAATTCCATTTTCCCTGTTCTTTTTTTCTAAACCTGTGAATCCCTCTTTCTCCACATGTACACATACTTAGGTTCATTTTTAAGATATTTATATTCTTTACCTTAAATCCCTTCCCTTGTAGTTTATTATATATCTTAATTAAAAGTGTTGTAAATAAGTGTAAATTTGTGTTGGCCACCAGGCAGCTTTGCTCTCTTTGTAATGCAAATAAGGATATAAATCATTATCTCTGCCTTGAGTGAAGATGTAGTCATTTCATTTAAAGAAGCTAATGGTGACATATTGCTTGGTCTTATACCAAGAATATTATGAGATGCTGCTTAGTTGCATATCAAGCTATATAGATTCACTCCACTGCTTCCCATATTGATGGAAGTGTCCTGTATCTTTTTGGAGAAACTGAAAGGAAAAATATGTCTCTATACATATTGGTCACTAGATACAGCATGTTTTTATGTGGTTTTGCAAGCGTGCATGCTCTAAAACTGAGTATTGTGCTTTTCCTGTGGAGTAAGGTCTGATGGGTGTTAAATTCTGTTAGTCAGTGCGTGTGCTGTATTTTGTCTTAGATTTATTGCTGTGTATAAACCTATGGTGCTTTGACTCCCAGAGATATATTACAGAACATGAAAAAGGATAACATCCAGGACTTCCACTCACAGCGTGTACTGCTGAGTCAGGGTGGCCTCATACTCCATTTTTATACATTTGTAAGCTGTTGGTGAAGAGACCTGCCAGAAGGGCCTACAGAAATACATTATTGTTGTCATGCAGCACTTCCACTTGTCCTAAGAAAGTCCATTCTCAATCTATCTGCTACATCTTCTCTCCTTGTCTGTTACCTTACATTAATTCTTTTGCATTGATATGACTAGAACAGGGTTATAAAATAATTTGGCCCCTGCAGACCAGGTGAATGGTGTGGGGCCAGTCCATGGGCCGAAGGACTGGTACAGGGCTGGTCCCAGAAGCTATATCAGGCCTATGGACTCCCTCTCTACACACGGCAACTTCTCCAGGAGCCACCCTGAGTATGGTGTCTGCCCTGGACTGGCCAGGGCAGGGCTGTGTGCAGCATGGGTCCCAGGCCAGCAGGGGCATTTGCTGTGTGTGGAGTACGGGTCAACTCCAGACCTAAGGGTAGCACCATGTTCTGGAGGATGGGCCATATCTTTGACACTTCTGGACTGGAGAGTTTTGTAGGGTCTATACTTCTTACCCCTTGAAGACACCGTCATGATGAAGCATTTCTATTATACTGGGTTTCTGCTTTCTAATAGGATTTCTCACTTGCTGGCATTTGCTTACAAACTTCCTTGCATAAAAGGCATACATTATTTTTCATTCGTAGACTTGCAGAAGAGCACACAATATTGCTTATTTAGTCTACCTGGGCATTACTCAGGTGGTTCTATAATTTTGCACTTTGTTTTATGTTAATCTTGAACCGTTTTGCATTTTATATTTGAGGGAGGGAAGTATGACCCAGGTGCTAATAGTGAGGAGCTTTTACCTTTTAATTCCTGGAAGAAAGACAAAGCACTGCGAAGGCACTTCTAATCCCTGATGCTTAGCTTGGAAGCTGAGAAGTTCATCTGGAAGGGTTAGGGATTTCAGCAGACCAGGTAACGCTGTAGGAGAGAGATTAGTAATTGTGTTCCTTGTCATTATACCAGAATGTGTTGTTCCCTTCCCCTCCTGGCCCTGAAGCAGTGTGCAAAATTTGTAACGTCTGCTATTTTGCTAAAAATCAGGAAATGCATAGCTTTTTGTTTGCAAGCTATAACCATTTTCCTTTGCATATGCTCAGGTTTGGATGCCAGTCCCCCGGCCAGTACTCATGAACTCACCATTCCCAATGATGTGAGTATAGCACTTTTGAATGCTCTCTGTGCCTTGATTTTATAAATATATAAAAATGAGAAATAAATCACTTGAATAGCATTAGAACAAACAATTCATTCTCTAAATCCAGCCATATCACTTGAAGAAGGTTGCTTCTTCATGCAGAATGATTACTGGGCAGATTAAAACAAAGGCATTTAAGAGTGTGTCAGTATGACTGCCCTTTTTATATCTTTGCTAGTGTAAAATCTCATTCAGATTTTTTCTTTAAAGTGAATTTAGTGCTCATGAAATCTGTCTGGTTGATTGCTCTAGAGAATGAAGCCTTTAATAATCCACAACAGGTGCAGCTGGAGAAGCACTGCAGACACTTCATATTGTCTCACCAACATGCCTTAACTATAACTACCTCTGGGAGGAGAGGACAGCTGCCCTGTCAGGCTTTTTGCTGTGCATCAATAGGACTGGTTTAATTTACTGAAGATAAAGTTGAAAGGGGATTAATTACAAATTAATGCTAATCTTGTAAGGAAAGGGAGACCCCAATATTTACGTTAAAGAATTGTCAGGTGTGTAGAAGGAGAGGAATGAAACTAGTGATAATTTTCAGCAGTAGGATACATGTAAAATCCTTTCTGTGAATTTTGCATGATGATTTTTAAATAAATGCTCACGACCTTGTTTGTGTTCAATCAGCATTTGAGCTGTTGAGTGTTACAGATACAAGTATTGGTGTGCAGTGAATTTCAAACTCTCATGCTCCGATATTCACAGAAGCGAAATATTAAGGGTGAGATTCTCAGCTTAATTTCCGACATATGGTGCACACAGAGGAGTCTGGGATAAATAGTTGGATAGCATGGGGTAGGTTTAGCTGGCCATATATTACTTGCTCCCCAACTCTAACTGAAGGCAGGGAGACAAAAGGCAGAAGGTATGATACTCCATTGATCCTGGATGGGCACAATGATTCCTATGGGACTATTGCAGACAGTAGTTGTTGGGGCCCATTTTAATCCCATTCCCCTCCCCACATCAGAACAGGAGGAGCAGAGAAATAATCTAAGATTATCTGTTCTGTCCCTTTCCACCAGCACTCTCCTTAGGTGGGCCAAAGCTAAACTCACCCAATTCAGTATTTGTATCAAGTGTTCACCTAGTTAAGGAACAGAAATGCACCCCGTGCAGGTGAAAATTGCAGTTGCAGCTCAGCGTCATGAAAGTTTCCCAGTGTAAATTTGGTTTGCATAACTTTCAATGCTGTGCTGTATTTTCCTCTGAAATTCCCTGTGCGTAACATGGGGCTTGAGTTCTTTTAACTCCAGTGAAACACATTTTTATATCCCTGTTTCCTGTTGGTGTAGAATACAAACCTTGCCTCTTGTTCATAAAGGAATAAATACAGGTGAGACAGGAGATCACTTTACAGCATCAGGGGAGGGTTGTCCCTCCTACTGCAGAGTGGCATGAGGTCTCAGGATTTGAGAGGGTAAGCTGTGAGTTTCATAGTCATTAGGGACTGGAAGGGACCTTACAGATCATCGGGTCCAGCTCCTCTTCACTGGGGCAAGAAAAACTACTGGGATCAGATGACCCCAGCAAGATGGGCATCAAGACACTTTTTGAAGATTGTCAGAGCTGGGGGAGAAGATTGTCCCACCTCTGGGGGAAGCCTGTTCCAAAATGATTCTCTTTTCCAGTGGCCCAAACCTTGGGGTGGTGTGTGTGCATGTGTTTATCTGTTATGGCTCCTTTATCTGAGCCCTCTTGATTGCATAACAACTGTAGTATAAAGAAATCCTATTTTATAGGGGAGTGGAGGAGCCGAGGGACCCATTCAAAGTCTTAAACACACTTTAAATGTACCTTTTTCATAAGATCATTGTAAAACACCCCTCCCGTTGGGAAGGAATAGTATTATGAGGCAATGCTTTTATGTAACTACCTGGAGAATTCCACTCACTTAGAACATGTGAGGGAGAACCTTTAAGCATGATGATGCTATGATCAGCTGCTTCTAGAAAATAAATCCTTTCATTTAATACACAAAGCTGCAGAGAACCTTGAAGTCTTTTATGCCTTAGAAAGCTATTATGATGATCTCTCCAGGGCTAGGGACAGACATTACACAAAACCGGTTTAAATGATCAGAAACTGATTTAGACCTGTAACAGAACAGATGTTCAGTGCACATAAACCAGTCTGAAAATGGCTGAAACTGGTTTGAGATAAACCTGGTTGAATGTAGTATCATACTTAACGGATTTGGGTCAAACCAGTTTATGCAATGTCTGTCCCAGACCCCTTGCTGGTTTAAGTTAAACCTGACTCCCAGCATGCTCTCTGGGCTGGGTGGGGCTCTCTGCTCCACAGCAGGGCTGACCCCTCCCCTCTGCTCCCTGGTTGCAGCTCTGGCAAGACTGAGGGCTGCTCCCCACCCTTCCCCTCGCCACTCCCAGCTAAGTAGGAATTCCACCCTCCCCTCTGCCTTGATGAGAGGTGTCTGTGTATCAGCCAGCAGACCACATGCTGGCTATGGTCCGTGCTGTGTCAACAGGTAGGATCAAGAGGTAGCTGGTAATGTCCCTCTGTTGCTTTCTTAATGGGGTAATAAAGACCGAGCTAGGGATGATAAACACTGTTATCAATTCCCTGCTGATCTAATCAGAGCATTCTACCCAGGCCTGGTCATGCCCCCCCTCAGCTCAGCTCTATGGAATTAAAGGGGGGCTGCTCCAGCATCCCCTGACTTCTAGCCTGAGCCACTGCAGGCATGTGCCTGCATGTCTGGGCTGTCTGCGCAGTTACAAAGTGATTTAGCCTAGCCAGGTTAGACTAACCTACAAAGATTGAATCAATTCAGGCTCAGGCTTTTTGAATGTCTGTCCCTAGCCCAGTGGAGTAGGGTGGGAACATTGCTATCACAGTTAGTCACTGGACACTTTTCAAATTTGCTTTTGTTCCTAGGGTTAAGTAAATCCTCTTTGGAGATGGCTAGGAGCTTTCCTGTTTCTGATTGCTCATGACTCAGTGAGATGAGTTATCTAGGTATTTGAAACATACATTTACACATGGCTTCTGTAAAGATCAGGCCATGTTTTGCAGCAGGATCCATTTCAAATAAGTAGCAGTTCTCTGTAAAGGTGATGCCAAAATGATTGTCATGTGTCCCTTTAAAGAACTCAGGATTGCAGTCACTAGAAGTCAAAAACTTATCATACAAGGTTTATCAGATGTTTGCCGCACCCAGTAGTTTGAAATACCATTTTTTTTTTAACTTTATACCTCTCAGTGGCCAGAATAATTTTGGCCAGTAAATTTTACCTCAGACAAAAGAGGCTGCTTTGAAGCCTTTTCAAATTCCCTCTTTTATCTTTGCCTGGAGATGACAAGCTGGCTTGAACATCTCTATCTTAAGGTGAGTAATATAACATTTTTTAGCAGATGTGGACCAGGTTTTCCTTGTGTTACAGGGTAAAGCAACACCAGAAATCAAGGGATGAACGCCCTTGTTTTTAGAAATTCTGCTTGACTAATTGTCCATCCCCATTCCCATTTTTAAAATGATTTAGTATACTTGTTGTTGTTCCTTGTTTAATTATGTTTCATGGGTGAGAAGAGGCAAGAGAGTATAATGGAAGGCAGTATTTTTTTGGAGGAGGACTAATTTCAGAAAAGCTCCACTTACGACATTTTAAAAGTATGTATTTTCTAATCAGGAGACTTCCATCTCAGTTTGCCTTTTTACAAGTTCAAAGCACAGAAAATCATCAGCTGTGCTAGAACAAACAGGGACTAGGAGCAGTAAACAAACATTTCTCTCACCCCTGAAATGATTGCAAGACCTGACTGGAAAGAAAGACAGAAACATAGAATCCTATAATCATTAAAACAGGGCTAGAAAAGACTTCAAGAGATTGTCTAGTCCAACTACATGCTCAAAACAGAATCAGCCCTGACTGAACATCCTATGCAAAAGTTTGTTTAACCTATACTTAAAAACATCAGTGACAGATGTTCCATGACCTCCGTAGGTTATCTGTTCCTATGTCTAATCACCTTCACAATTAGGATGTTTTTTTCTAATATCCAATCTCCCTGCGGAATTTAAGCCTATTAGTTCTTGTCTTGACCCCTTTGGAAACAGAGAGCAATTGATCACCATACTCTACTCTACTCTCAGTGTTTTCTGAGTTTGAAAATTTTCTCTAAATCTCCCATCAGTCTTATCTTTTCTAGGGTATATAATCACAATACTTCCAACCATTCTTCATACGTCACATTTTCTCATTCTGTATTTTTTTTGTTCTTTTCTGAATCCTTTCTAACTTGTCCATGTCTTTTTTTTTAAAGAAATGTGGTGTCCCAAACTAGTGCCTCACTAGCGCTCAATAGAGTGGAAGAATCATTTTGTGCGTCTTGCACATAACATTCTGCTTCCCAACCCAGTATGCTGTTAGCATTGTTGTGTGCTATAAACATTGACTCATATTCAGCTTGTGACCCACTGGAACCCCTCAGATCTTTTTCTGCAGTACTGCTGCCTCCAGCTAGTCAATCCTCATTTAGTATTTTTGTATTTGATTGTTCCTTTCTGTGTGTAGCACTTTGTGCTTCTCTTTGTTTAATTTTATCTGATTTGTTTCAGAGACTTCTCCCAGTTAATCGAGGGCATTTTGAATCCTAACCTTGTCCTCTAAGATACCTGCAATCCTATTCAGCTTTGTTATTTGTATATTTACTACATCTAGACTCAGTTACCTAATCTATCTCACTAATGAAAATATGGAACAATACTGACCTAGGACAAACACCTGGGGAACCCAGCTTGATAGTTACCCCCAATTTGGTGTTTCCTGGCCAGTTGATAATGGCTTAATTATAAAAACATGCTATGCTTTGCAGCAAAAAGTATAGGGGACCCTTTTCCTATGGTCTTCAAATTTGTACATTCTTCAGTTAAAATATCAACCATGAAACTAGGTCTGTGGGTTGGGGTTTTTTATTCCCGTAGCTAT